GCTTCCCCCCCACACACCTGAGCCCTGCAGCCCCCAGCCCTCCCACAGGCATCCTCCACCACTCTGACACCTAGAACTCCTATAGGCAACCCCAGCTGGCAAGCCTCACTTTTGTGGCAAATACTTAATGTCTGCCAGGTGTAAATCAAGGTTACTTCTGGGCAGGAATGGGGTCCAGAGGAACCAGTAATCTATCTTCTGGGAGGTCTTGTGTGGTAGAAAGAAATGACCACTGGATGGTGAGTCAGGGTGACTTGGACTTCAATTCCAATCTGTTTCCAATTAACTCTGTGTTAAGTCACTTAAATTCTGTGGGCTTCAGTTTACTCATCTGTAAAATGAAAAGATTATCCTAAAGGACCTGATTCTGTGGCACTTTCAGTCTGAATATGCACCCACCAAAGGCTTTTGCATGAGTTTCCCCGTGTGAACACTTCAGGTGAGGAGACTCTGGAAACCTTAGACTGCGCCCCCCTCCAGGTTGAGTGTTCCATAATTTACACCAGCAGTTTCTTTTTAGATACATGAAAACTTTGGGGGAAATCCCAACAAGTGTGCATGTGGTTGGAAAGAGGTAGAGAACTTTAAAAAATTTTTTCTTTTGGAGTTTTTCAAATGTTTCCAATTTTAGGGATTAATTCTTTAACCTTTGGATCCCTTCCCCTTCCACTCCCACTGCCATGATGTTTCTCTGCTTCACTGTAGGTCCCTACATTTCTCTTTATATATAGAACACTCCCAGGGAAGCAGGTGAGGCCATAGCCTCGTGCTTGCTACCCCATCAGACTGTGAGCCTGAGATGACCCAGCCACCCTCCTCTGAGTACTCAGCATTGTTATTTAGACTGTTGCCATTGCACAATATAATTATTATCTTCAAATACATGCTCCCTTCACCCATCCACTGGTGCAGGGAGTCTGGCAAGTGGAGGGCCTGTGGTTCCTGGAAGAGCTTTCCCTCAGCTCTGGTCACTCAGTCCCTGTAGAATCAAGCCACGAAGTAGTAGCTTTGTGGTTTGCTGAAATACCCACCTTTTCAATGCTAGTCCTTAGGTGGGAATTTGAGTCTAAGTTATTCCACGTGCCAGAAAATAGGTGTCCATGTGGCCTCAGGAATACTACTGTAATCTGAATTCAATAGAGAAAGTTGATTTCTTGGAGTTTCTGGTGGACACTCCTTGTTGACTGGTGCCCAAGCCTACCATCCACACCGTAACAGGGAGGTAACTGAGATGACTGAGGTTCATTCCTGGGTGGTTATGTACAAAATGTATAGCATCATCACAGCAACCCTCCAAGGTAGGTATTACTGCAGATGAGAAAACAGAAGATCAGAGTGGGCCCCTTCACCCTGTGAAAGGTTCCCATCACCAGTCTGAGGCCTGTCCCTAATATTGTTGGGGCCAGTGCAAGAGTATACAGATTTCCAAAGATAAGCTAGAAATCAAGCTTACAAGAATCACAGAAAGCATTCTGTCCTCCTACCTTAAAGACAGACCTTCCAGTCTGGAAAGCCAGGCTCTGAGTAGAATTCTCAGACTCCCTGGGGATTTGCATCAGGCTTAGCTGTGGGGGAGGGCTGACTTCCAGTCTCAGACCCAGCTTTGAGCTCCCCTCCCTTTGTCTCCCCTCCAACTCCATCCCATACTGCGAATGGTCCCCTATGCACACCTATGGACATCCCCACCCTCAGCCCAAACTCATCCTCCTCACGTACACAGCTATCCCTGGCCACCCTTTGGTGCATATCGGTGTCATAGTCAGCTGTGGGAGGAAGGGTCCTGGAGTCAGGTTTGGGGAGTTTGGGCAGGGAATCCTGAGGTCCTGGGTGCTGAAGCAGTGGTGTGGGCCCCGAGAAGGTACATCCCAACAGTTCTGCGTCTGGGTCTAAGGGCAGTAATTGAACTCCAAGTCCGTGGCTTTGGAGTTCTCTCTATAAGCCCTCCTGTCTGCTTGCTTTCCATCTCCTTCAGCCCCTCATCTTCTCCTGTGCCTTTGATCACGTTTTACTTCTCCTCTGAATCCCCTCTTCTGTTTCCTCCACAGTCACCCACCCATCTGGAGTGAGGACTTTGGGGTCACTGTCCAGGTGTGGATACTGGTGTCAAAAAGCAGAACGAAGGAGGTGGGAACCTAGTGCTCATTTCTCTTTGCCGCTTTCTCTATTACCATGACAGAAGAGTTAGCGTCCCATACTCTCTTCTCCAAATGCTGCGAAGACCCTGAGGAAAGACCCTGAGGGGCCAGGTCAGGCTCTGGAACTGGGCTAATGATGGCCATCCATGGTCTTATTTTCAAATAAACCCCTAAATTTTGACAAATGTAATGGCATTGGACCATTGTACCTTCATATGACTTGACTCTTAGTGGATAGAGGGTGGTGTCTTTAGAAGGGAGTGGCCATTCTACCTGTCAACTGTGACGGGGAGTGGGGAGGTGGCAGGTGCTGGGACAGGACATGGACACCTGGAGACACTGTGAGAGAATTGGCAGCTATTCCTTTCTCTGAGTATTGCTGCCTGAACTCCAAGGGCTGTGATAAACTTGCCTGGGGTAAGCAGGCTCTGGCCACACAGCCACAACCAGGCAAGGAGGAATCATCACTAGCCACGGCTCCAAGTTAACTCTTGGGTTAAGTTCCTCTGCCATCTGGCACCTTTGACAAAGGATTGTCAAGCTTTCTCTCTGGAAGTTCTGCAAAGGGGAGCTAAGGTCCTACTAATCTGGCAAGCAGATACCCGGGCCCAATGTCTGTGCTTCCTGAATGTAACTTCAACTCTTTATATGCCCTGGCTGCTCCACCAGAGGGGTCCTGTTACAAGTGGAGGCATCAGTTACAAAGGGAGCCTGCAGACCTCTTAAATACTGGCCTGTGTTTAGTGCAGTCTAGGTTAGTATGTTTTCTTGGGTTCTCATTCTTTTGAAAAATTTTATTTCATATATAGTATTTTTTAAAATGTTGACCAGCCAAGGCACCATGCTCCTGAACCAAATGAATGTGAGGGGAACACTTTCTCCCTAGTGTCAGTGGTATGGCAGTGGCCCAGCACACTGGGAGGAGCTCTGGAAAACCAACCTGCTTCTGTCCCTCACATGCT